ATGGGCGATCTGTCTGGCGGCTGAAGCCGCCGCTCCTGTGCTGAGTTTGGCGAGGTAGTTGCTACCCCGGGCTTTTCTCTGGTGCCGGTTACCTGGTTGCCAGCCAGCTTGTACGATTTGCCTGCTGATTGGATTTTGATCTACCGGATCAATGTCACCTCGCCTTTCTCCCGGACTTCATCCCCTTTAAAACAACGTGATGTGACCATGTAATAAGTGCCCATGTCGCAATTGCTGCCGTTAAAAGTTCCGTCCCAGCCGATGTTGTGATCAAACGATCTAAAGACGCATTGGCCCCAGCGATTATAGATACTAAGCTCAAACTTTTCCGGCTCACCATAAAATTTGATGCGGAAGGCATCATTCCGTCCATCATGATTCGGGGTAAAAGATCCCAGACAGGAATGGAGTTATGGGAGCTGTGCCTGAGCGGAGTCGGAGTCACGGTCAAACAGAAGAAAAAGGCCGTTTCCATGTATCATAGTTCTGCAAAACCATGATACATTGGTGGATTCAGGTCGGGATTGCAACGCTATCAATATTAAAAGCACAGCCCGGTCTGTTACACCTTATTTTCTCTGAGGGCCAGCCAGTCGTTTTTAGAAAGACTATATACAAAATTCAACCTGGATGGCTCACCGATGTAAGCGACGTCCTGTTCTGCAATTTTCTGAGCGCCTAAACGGCCAATTGCTATCTGAGAGCGGATATTACCGGCCCCGATGTGAAAATATACCTGCGAAATAAACTGGAAGATATAGTCGAGCATCAACGCTTTTACTGAAAGATTAATCCCCTTGCCCCAGTATTCTTTTGCATAAAAGGTGTACCCGATCAGCAGGCTGTTTTCGTTTTCATCGTAATCATAAAAACGAGTGCTGCCCAGTATTTTAGTGCTGGTCTTATCTACAATTTTAAACGCTCCTTTACTATTCATTGCTCCGTCAAAGAATGTCCGGAAAACGTCTTTTTTCCAACGGTCCGGGTTCGGGTGCTGTGTCCAGATTGCAGGGTCAGCAGCGGCCTGGTAGAGTGCTTCAAAATCCTGCTCTTGCAAGGGGTAAAGTATAATCCTTTTGTTTTCCAGAATAGGCTGAATGTTGATGGTCATTCGTTATGGTTTTATCAGTATTGAATTGCGGTGAGGATAGCAGATTAATGGATCGGATCGGTATTATTTCATGAGAATGTCTTTCACTGCTGCGTTTCCTATTGGTTTTTTCGCATATATCCGGCCAGCGTATTTTCTACACTATCCTTGCTTTTTTCCAGCTGTTGAATAATTCGCTCCCGCTCTGCACCCGATTTATTCTGACTTAATTTCTGTTGTCCCTGCAAATCGGTTACTTCTAATTCAAACGCTACAATACCACGCATCATGCCTGTTTTAAACTTTGCGGAAAGACTGTTCCATTGCTCCATATAGGCGGGTTCATAAGAGTTGATCATTTGTTCGAGTAGTTCGGCCTTAGCCGCTTCCGTGTCCAGGATCTTAGCAGTGCCATAAGCATGTACCGCCAGGTAGTTCCAGGTTGGCACACTTTCCTGCTTGTCGTAATGAGTGGGAGAAATATAGGCGTGTGGCTCAGAAAATATGACTAAGGATGTTTGGTGCTCAATGTATTTTGCCTGCTCGTTGGCAATGGCAAAATGAGCACGTAATAGCAGCTTTTCAGCACTGTCAGCTACAAAAAAAGGCAAGTGAGTTGCCAGCGGAACCTGATTTTTCGTGGTAATGATCGTTGCAAAGCTGTATTGTTTCATAAACGCAATCTTAGCAGCGAAGTCATTAAATTCAAATGTCTTGGGAATGAACATTAAATAGTAGTTTAAATCTTGTTTATGCCATAGATCTCTTTCAACCAGAATCTTCCGGCCTGACCTGAAACAGACAATGAGGAATCAAAAATAATTGATTTTCAGCTTTATGTGCTGCTTTGTGTAATAACCCGTTAATACGGATCAAGGCAGGTTTTGTTTTCAATGCATACTTCAACAATAATAGAGATGATACGTGTCAAAACTGCAAATAAAAGATAGCATAAGATGATTAGTACCGGGTTTTTAATACTCCAGGTATACACGCAGCACAATGTCAGGATAAACCCTATAAGCCACTTTATTGCCAACGAAGAATTTTTTTTCAGGTATGTCATATTTTTTTCCGTCATAGAGATCAAGAAGTGTACCGTTTAAATTGATTTATTGTTAAAACAACAGCTTTAAGCTAAAATTATGAATTTGTTTTAATGTGAAATCACCCAAATAACTAAATCATAATAAATTTACTTAATTAAAACATTTAATTTGTTATTGGCCCTGCTAATTTTACCTCGCATTTAAAAAAAAGGAATCTTGATCACATAGCTGCTTTAATAAATAATCAGCGAAACAATGAAACCACGGCATATAA